AATGGACTTTCTTTATATTGGATGCTCCATGAATAAACCTGATAGACCCACTCAGAGTCAGAAGGTGACCTTCTTGCTGAAACTTTTAGAGCCCTAGGAAGATTTTATTTCACTTTTGGTACCTCCTTGACCCAGGGTGCACTGGTGACTGAACATTTGACAAGAGAAGAGGTGCTGTGGGGACTGATCACTACTTTGAATGTGAGTAGATCAAGGAATGACCTTGGCAAGTGTATGACATTTGCTGCCTTGATGGCATCAGGATCATATTTTTTTAAGCAAAGGTATTAAGTTTATGACAAATTACTATGTCAATCACTTACTAGAAAATATTACAGACAGAAAAAAAAAGCAGTGTGACAGAGATCCCTTTCTCAGGAGTTATATGCTCCATGCTTCCCCTAGAGTTCTCTTGGCTGTCAAGTATTACTGCTCGGGAATTTGAATTTGTAGGAAGAAGTTAGTGGGCTTCTCCCCCTGTACTGAGCACTGCCTCACTGCTGCCTCTTCCCTTATTCTTTATCTATTTTTTGTTGTTGAAATATGCAGCCTAACCTCACTGCCATTCACTCTATAGCTGGGTGAGCTGTTATCCCAGCTATGCTATCACACAGGTGATCAGATATACTGTCCCAGGTGTCATGCTATATCTCACTTTATGTGGTTATAATGCAGTATTGTGTCCTCCCTGAACACACTCAGGCAACCTGCTGAGTGCTGAAAATGTTGTTGCAAGTTTAGCTGTCTTCACTGGGAGCCCTAAAGCTTCACTTTTAGGTCCTAAAGAGCTGCAAGGTCATTACGTGGAACTGCCTTTTCCCCAAAAACTTCTCTAGGCTTTGAGCCTTGCTTTCAACTAAGAATACTTCTCATTAAATTTAAGACCTCTTCCTAGCTGCCCTGAACTTTCCTCCAAAGCCAGTGGAAAATGGAAAGCAACCCTCGAGGGCAAAAAAGCTTTTAAAGAAGATCTCTCCCTAAAATCTTGTCTAGTTGGAAAAGCAAATGGGAAGAGAGCTGACATAGCGATGTAATTTTTCCTATTAGTCTCACTCTCTTCCTCCTTTTCCATAGTACCAAATTTTAGAGTCACCTCCTTGATGTTAATGGGTATATTTGTTTAGTGGTCCTGGAGAGGACCTGTCAAACCATCTCATTTGCACATGCTTGCCTTGCCCTTCTTCAGTGATCAGCTGAGATATAAAATCCTCCATGCTGCTATAAAAGCATAAAAGAAAATTATTTTCTTTTGTCAAAGCAAAAGAGCTTTGATGTTTTGGAAATGAGGGTCAAGAATTTTGTTCCTAAGCTTTTAGATAGAGTGGATGTCATTAAATAGTCAACATTTACCAAGATCAGATGTCGATTGCGTTTTCTAGCATTGAGAGCAACTTTCCTATATAACTCTGGCATTTTAGTTCTGGGTCACATATATAGCAAGGTCATAATTTTCACCATGCATTGACACATTTATCCTAGAAGATAACTTTGAGACTCTATCTTTGAAATTTTCCTGACAAAAAGGAATTATTAGTTTTTCTTTCTAAGTATTAATCAAATGGATGTAAAATTGCTTTTACAGCCTAATATGTGTAACATTTCTTTTATTTTGCTTCAGTTCCATGAATCAATTAATCTCCTCTGATAAATGAAAAATTATTTAACTATCAGGTAATATCCAGACTTATTCATTGAAACTCAGCTGCTTAGAAGTACTGTGGAATACTGGGTTTCTTTCCCTAAGAAATGATAGCTGTAGAAATTGTTGATTGTATTTAATGATAGCAATATCTCACAAGGAACCAGAATGTGATTAATTAAATACTAGGTTGTTGAGCATTACTTAGCAAAGGAGACAGTTACTAGGAATCAGTTTATATTAATTATTTTTAACGTAGTTCATACAGTAATTAAAAATTTATAATTTAATTATATTCCTTCTATCTTTTCTTAATGTGCCTCATATTTTAATGAAATCTCAAATGTCTCTTTCACACACTGTTTATGAACTCAGAATCCCAGATTTAGCCACCTGATGGTGACAAGGAGAAGGTCCAGGGGGGACTCCTCTGTTTTGAAAAATACTAAAGTCGTGATACCAAACAGATTATTGACAATACCAGACAGGTTAAAGGTCTCTCTGCCCTTGTGAGACCCCACCTGGAGTAGTATGTCCAGGTCAGGATTCTTCAGCACAAGAAAGAAACAGACCTCTTAGAGCAGGTTCACAGGAGGCCACCAAGATGATCAGGGGCCTGAAGCACCTCTACTATGAGGAGAGGCTGAGAGTACTGGGGTTGTTCAGTCTAGAGAAGAAAAGACTCCAAGGAGACCTTTTTGCAACCTTTCGATACCTAAAGGGGGCTTAAAAAGGAGACAGCGACTTTTTTCATGAGCAGATAGTGGTAGGACGAGTGGGAAGTGGTTTTAAACTAAAGGAAGCGAGTTTAGCTTAGATGTTAGGAAGAAGTTCTTGGGTGTGGGGGTGGTGATGCACTAGAACAGGCTGGCCAGAGAAGCTGTGGATCCCCCATCCCTGGCAGGATTCAAGCCCAAGTTGGATGGGGCTTTGAGCAATGTGGTTGAGTGAGTGGCATCCCTGCCTGTGGCAGGGGGATTGGAACTATGTGACCTTTAAGGTCCTTTCCAGCATAAGTCATTCTGTGATTCCATGATTAAGTAAAGTATATGCAAAGAATCACGAGTCAAAGCACGTGTCAGTCATCAGCCTGCTGCCTATAGAGGAAAGGAAGTTTAGTTACATCCAGCAACTAAATGTAGATAGCGAGGTTCTACAGCACCTCACCTAATCTATTATATTTGTCTTCCTACCTATGGGAAGAAAACACTGCTGCTACAATTCTTGTTTTTATCATCTGAAACTTAATTATACCCACTATCAGACAGCTATCTTAATCGTAGAATCACTTTGACTGTGATGACTTAATTAACCTCTGAGCACATGCCTACAATAATCTCATACATTTTCATTTCAGTTTTAGCAGTTATAGTTTCTACATAGTTTACCTCTCTCATGAGGTTAAAAAGATATTCCATAGAAGGCACTGAATAAAGACAGGGAAAGAAAGTTGTTTTGTTTTTTTTTTTTTTCTCCAGGGAAATTTCTTAAGAATTTAAAAAAATGACTGCCTTGAACAAAGCTGAAAAAACAAAACCCTTAATTTTTTATGCTTCAACAGCTCTGTTGCTCTTCTTTGGAAGCAAAATTTATTAGGAAAAATTTCTTCACTGAAAGGATTATCAGGCATTGGAACAGGATGCCCAGGGAAGTGGTTGAGTCACCATCCCTGGAGGTATTTAAAAGACATGTATATGTGGCACTTAGGGACATGGTTTAGTGGTGGACTTGGCAGTGCTTGGTTAACAGTTGCACTTAATGATCTTAGAGGTCTTTTCTAAACTAAATGATTCTGTGAGTCTAAGACAGCCTGTCTTAGAGGAGCAGCTAGCCTGCCCATTGGCAGATACACCAAGGAAGCAAGGCTATGGCTGTGTTGACCCTGAGATGGGAGAACACATGGAAATGCTTGAGAACAGATCTCCCAAGTGTAAGGTTGGAAGAGTCTCTAAATCCCATCTGTTCTTGCAGCTGATGATGTGAGGGAATACTGGATCATCACATGTCAGACATCAAAGGACATGGCCACACAGGGAAATGGATGTTAATACTATTTGCTTTTCTAGTCAAAGCCATGATAAAATATCTGGGATTCCTCCCCGAATGCTCCTCAGGGCTTGCATTCAGCCCAAACTCAGGTTGTGTCCACTTAATGAGGAACGCTGAGTCCTTCCTCAATCACCAGCCTATGGTCATGCTCAGTGTTTGATAAATATGGTCTGAGAAACAAGATCCTGGTTTGTGCCTTATCTTACAGTAGAAGTTGAACCTGTGGCTTTCTTATTCACTGAGTGGTCTGGTCCTTCCAGAGGCGAAACTTTGCCCTTCATAGGGAAATTCCCAACAGCCTGAGCACACATCACAACCACTGCTGGACTGACCACTCTGCCAGTTTAGCATGAAGTAACTCTATGGCCAATATTAGACATTTAATGGGCACAAATCTGTCATTCCCAGAAATAGTTTTTGTTAAAGCTACTGTAAGGAATAAATGTAAAAAACTGCCTATTTACCACATGAAACGAAATATTTTCTGGGACATTAATTCATTTCTGCACTGATATCTAGAGAAAAGCGTCACATGACTTCTAAAATCAGATTTACAGAGTTCTGTGAACTCTTGTGAACAATGTTTGTGACTTTAATTTTTTTGTTGTTCAAAGCAAAGTACTGCACTTTTCTTAGGTTTATTTGTTTTCCTGGAATGATAGATAATCAATATATTTAAAGCAAAACATGAAGACCAGCATACCCATGGTGTGAAAGCATACTGAAAGGCACCCAGTGTGGTGTTAAAGGCACACAGTCCTCCAAACTGTGGAGGAGATGTGTTGTAAGAAAACAATTTCTAGAGCTTTGTTCACTTGGTCTAACTACCCTGTTAATTTATGTTTTTGGTTGAACATGGGATATTTTAATCTTTTGTAAAACTCTATCAACCTTTGAAGATAAAAGATCTCTTGATGCCTAGCACCCTGATGAAAACCAGATGACAAGTAGCAGATTTTGTCTATGAAGAAAGATTTTTAGTTACTTTGTGCTTTAGCTCTGGTTCTTGTTCCTGTTGACCTAGACATTGTCTTTTAGTAAAGTTCAGTGTTAACAGCCAGGAGGATTGATGATGTTTAAATACAGCAAAGACTTAAAATTTCATATTGTCTTGGTAGCAGAACCACAGATAGATTCTCTGCTTGTGCTAAGGCGTTTAACTACAACAGATCTGTGATGCTTTATTTAGAGTAAGATTTAGACCCTGGGGAAGGGGTTTGTGAGTCTCATACAAATTACTGTCTTTAGTGTCCTAATTGATTCCATCTGTAGTTTTACAGCCTTTCCTTTTTTCTTCCTCTTTCCTTTGTAGTCAGAGCTACCTTCAAACTGCAAGTGACGTGCCTGGGGGTCACAACCTGGATCCCTCTGCAAACTACAATTCCCCAAAGTTTCGCTCAAGGAATCAGAGCTATATGAGAGCAGTGAGCACGCTCAGTCAGGCCAGCTGTGTTAGTCAGGTGGGAAATTCTTGTTATAACTTTTCTTATAGGTTAACTGCAGATGTGAGAGTTTTTACTAGTGGATGGGCTTGGCTTTTGGGTTTTTTTTAAATTTATGTCAAGTTGAAGATGTGCATTGTCAAAGTAATTCTGTTCTAAGGAATGTAACTCAAAATTTCAAGAAAAGTGCTAAATACTAGAGACAAAAGGACGCTACCACACATAATATTTTCCATTTATTTTTGTTAAAAATATAAATACTGGGTGTTTCATTTTCAGTCTGTATTAAATATTTAAATGTTAAGAAGATTCCGACTGAGAATGAGAAGCACACTCCTACAATACTCATCCTCTGAAAATACTTACTCTGATTTCAGTAAATATGGATTGCCAGATTAACATATAGGTTGAAAAAATTATGCTCCAAAGGAGCAGTGATTCATCTCTAAACTCAACCCCCCGCTCTTTTTGGGTGAAGGAATAAGTCCCATCAGTTATTCTATGGATGGGTTCTTCTGAAAAGATACATTTTTTCTCCCTGGTGGTTTTATGTCAGTTAGTTAATACTAACTTCTGTTAAAGTGAAATCTGAATCAGACCTGAAGTGCAAGCAGCTTTAGGAAGTATGTGCATGTTTTGTTTAGCAGAGGGCTTTACATAAAATTCCCCATGTTTCTAATATTTATTGGTCCTGACATTTCTTCCCTGTGTTGTTTCATGACAGGTGGGCCCTGCCCTCTTCTCAGATATGTTACTTAAGTCTCCTTTGACCATTCAGTGAGCCACCTAAGGGTATACATGCACAATGGTTATGTTAAAAGAGAAATCTTTTTAAAGCAATTTTATATTCATTCATATTCAATTTGTATTGAATGGCTATTCAGACCTGGATGCAACTTATCTAATGTGAGGCTTTTGACTGAAGCAACAACTAAAGCTTCCTCTGAAGTTAATGGAGTGAAACAGTTTCTTCCTGGATAATGCACATCCAGAGCGGGCAGAGAGCTCTCTGGAAATGCCTTTAGTATCCACTGACTGTAGAGAGCTGGGAGGGACTAGTCATGTGATTAATGCCCTTCAGTCAAATTCCTTAATTTATATGGAGTAATTATAAGTATAATCTTGCACAACACGTTGAAATTAGAAACAGCCATTTTCCAAACCTTTCATTATTTTTTATAACTCCCTTGTGAAACCTGTCCTCATCATTCTCATGCCTTGGTTTTTATCATTCTGGTTTGGTTATTTTCTATTTTTATTAGACTCTGGTTTTGAGAAAGTTTCATAATGATCAGATTCCGCATTCAAAGCAAGTGCTGTTGGCTGTCATCTAAAAATATTATCATATAGAACTATTCTGCCTCTTTGAACATGTCTGTGCACAGGGGTGTTCACTGAGCTGTCCATAATGACTAATTGGTTTCAGCAGTGGTTAAAATTCTTCATTCCAATGTGCATTACCTGGAAGATATCCACAAAAGATTTCATTTGCAGGTAGTTTGCTCAATTGGACAGATTAACTAAACTTGCTGGATATAGTTCCTTACTTTTTCAGTTTTCACTAACCTATGTGACTTTGTGTCAGCCACATACTTCCTACCTCACAGTTCAGCGTTTCCAGACCAGTAATAAATGCATTTATTAGATATTATACAAAGTAAATGTATTAAATATCAAGTTCTCAACCTTTGCTGTTTCCTATTCTTTTTCCATGACACCATCATATTATTGTCCCACCTATATAATAGCATTTTATATAATTTGTGGTATTTTTTATATTTTTTTCTTGTGAGATCTTTCCTTTTTCACTCCTGACAAAGGGAAGAGTCAAGAAAGATGCTGAGTTCCATGGTTTATATTTTTAATTTAAGTTTAATTTTTATTTTTCTATTCTCAATGACCTTAGTTTGAAAGAAGTGGTTAGGACTTAAAGTGTTTATGGACTAAATTATCATAAATTTTCTTATCAACAATATTGCAAAATAGTTCAGAGTAAGATTTTTTTAAATCTTTTCAAGATTGCATTAGTCTACTTACCTTTATTAAAAGCAAATTTTATGAAGGGTAATGTAATTCCTTTCAGAAGAGTTTTAGTAGCCATAACATCTTACTCAAAATTAAAATATCAGTTATTCATAATCATCAGAACTTTTGTATAAAATTTCCATTTACTTAACCAAAATCCTAAACTGACTCTCTTACCATAATGAATAAAGCACTAGGAGCACTTAGCAGCTGTATAGGAAAATTAATATCAACTGGATGTGCCATTTAGTGATGCTATAAATTTAACTTGTAAAATTATTCATACTGATTCTGATTTTTAGCACTCTCTTTTTTAAAAAAAATATTTTCAGAAAGTCATGCATTTGTCTATCCAGTGTTAACTTCCTATCTGATTTTGGATAAACATAATATTAAATTATTCAGATAGATTTACAGGTAGTTAGGACTGACTTCAGTGAAACTGTTAAAAATGTAGGTAGAATTTAGGCACTAATCCTCAAAACTGTGACACACAGTTCCCTACTGAGAGGTTCCATGAGCCTGACCTGCCTGCCTGAGCCCTGTTATTATGAAAATTGCCTAAAAATGTATAGTGTTGCATCATGCCCAACCTACAAGGCAGGGTCAGCAGGTGGATGCTGGGTTCTGCCCAAGCGCTGGAGGCTGCTGCTGAAATCCCCCAAGGGATGGGCCTGGTAAGGGTGCAGGCAGTGTTCCTCAGCATGCTTGGTGGCAGAAGTATCAGACTTTAAATAATGCTGCTGAACCAAAGGTTTTTCCATGGTAGTTGAATGGCTAACCCAGTTAAAGAGGGAGTGAGTTTGGTTTAGGGCTCTTCTCAGCTAAATGTGGTCCAAGCATTACTTTCTCATCTGATCACTTTTCACTCGGTTTCAGACAATGGTTATTCTTTCACATGCTTCACTGGACACAGCTCTAGATACAATATTTCTCAAACCTTTCAGAAGCATCACCTCCTCTATACTTTTATACATCTTCAAGAATTAAATACTTCCTTGAGCCCCTTTATAGTGAGAGGAAGATAACCTGCCACACAGGTTAAATGTCCACACAAGTAGTAACTTTGCTGATAAGTGAGGAGCCCAAGCAATCCACCTTCATCTTTTGAGGCTAATATCAGCATGTTTGGTTTCCGTTCTCCTGTCCTGACAGATCATAGATTTCTATCAGCATAGAGTATTCTTGTTGCTTACAATTAAATCATGTATTTGCAATCATTTGGCTATGCCAAAATATTTTAAATGTAAAATTAATGTATGGCATGTGTGATGCACTTAATATATACATGTAAACAGCTGATGTACGTTAAACAATGTGAATGTGATCAGAAGGGATTACTAAGTTTTAACTATTTGCTAAAACAGTTCTTCATCAATGTACAGGTGTCCATTTGAGATGTTGAGGCCGTGATGATCACAAAAAAGCAAGTCAAAAATCAAATGCATTGTTGTTGTTTATTCAGATGAGTGAAGCAGAGGTTAATGGGCAATTTGAATCGGTGTGTGAATCAGTGTTTAGTGAAGTTGAAGCTCAGGCAATGGATGCCCTTGACCTCCCTGGATGTTTCCGAACAAGAAGCCACAGTTACTTGCGTGCCATTCAGGCAGGTTATTCCCAAGATGATGAATGTATACCCGCGCTGACATCTTCCAACATCACCTCAACTATCAGGTCAACCACAGGTAAGCAAATCTACACTGACCTTTCCACTGTTCTGCATGTGAGAATATGTCTTCTTGTTTTCTAAAAGGTTGTTAGACACTGTAAACAATTTCCCTGTGTAGTGAGTGTTTGATACCACTATTCTTAAGATTGTAATACTGTACCATTGTGGCTACATCTTGGAATAAGCTCCTTCCAGGAAGAATCCTGCATGCATAATATAATGAACCTGGATTTTTGACCTCCATTCCCCGTACATACAGTTATCTAGGTGCAAATATGAAAATATAAGTTCAAATGGTATCATTTAGATATTGTTAGACATGTCCATGGTTTATCTATCAAGTACTGGATCTTCAAATGGGATTAGTTGCAGTAATTTTAATTTAGGTCCTTAAAGTATCAAGAGAAAAAGAGAAGCAAGATTAAAACTATATGGTCTAAACACTTGAAGGCAATTAATTTAAAAGGGAATTAATTACTTTTAGGCAAGGTGTAACCAATTGCATCAATACACTGAATTGTAAACATTATGGCAAGTTTCAGACATCTGCCATTACTTATCAGTAACAATTTGCAGTCATTGTTATAACACTTAAAATCTTTTAACATTCTTTTGGCAATTTTCTTTTCTCTTAGTAGTTGCTTAGCAAACATGGTAACTTTATTAATTTTAGAGTATTAGCATGTATTGGTAGAGAAAAGATTGCACAGAAGGCAGTTAAATAATTCAAATGAAATCTATAGGAAATATGTATTCTTTGTTAAGTGATGCAAATTCACTTTTATGTTTCCAAATACATTAATGTCAGTTCCTAATTAATACTGTCCTTTCCACATACTATTAAATTGCAGTGCAGGCTACCCATCTACACAAGGTAAAAATGAGCTGAAAATGTATCACATAAAAATATAAAAATACTCTTAAAATTATTTGTTTGACACATCTGTTGTATAACAGAACAGTGGGAGCTTAGAAAGGAAGTAAGCCACAGTTGAATAACATACATTTGCATTCCAGAAGTAGCATAAAATGTTGTTTTATCTTAAGCATAGTATTTTAATTGCTATATGTAACTTTGTGTAAAACTAGAAATTATGGCCTACAGTGCCCCCTCTAGGGATGTTTCTGTCCTTTGATTAATAGAAATGCTATCATAATACAAAATGAGATTTTATTGCTACCCCGGAGACTAATTTTCATCTTTATCGTATAGTACACTGTGTGATTATTATGAGGACACATTCCATGGCAAAAGACACGAATAGATACTTATTTTGGTGTCTGACTTCAGGTACTGAATTGGAATAGTTTCAGAATTACTTTCAGAATTACCAATCCAAGTGGATTGGTTTTAACCTAAACTGTCTTTGAGTTTATATACTAGATAAGCCCAAAATTCTCACTGAAAATAATTTGTTTTATTGACTTTGGAATGACAAAGCTGAATAAGAGAATATGTTTGGGAAAGTACAGGATTAGGTAGTAAGTATATTTGCATCACAATGTTTTCATAGTTTTGCATTGATTAGCAGGCTGCTGGTTAAATACTGTGGTTTTGAAAACTTTAACCTTCATTTTGCACATAGCTTCTGCCTCATCTCAGAAATGATTTATCAGATAGATTTTCTTGACCACAGATGTAATTACTCCTCTTTGTTGCTGTGAAGTGATATTGACATTCTGGAGAAAAAAGATTATTTGAGGTGTTTTCCTGATCCAAAAGTGTTTCCAGGCTTGTGGACTATGTACAGTTCTGAGTGTGGTTCTGTATTCAATATATCTTCTCTGTACCAGTAAGCAAGTTTGTCCTCAGCTTCTATATAAGGTAAATATTCAAATTAGAAATAATTTTCTGTTTTACAAAAGAGTAAGGATTAGTTGATTCACTTTTAATCAGGAATTTCAGTTGCCAAATAAGTTCTTGTTTTTAAACAAGATTACTCTAGGGATAATTCTTCTATTTTTCTCTCTTCAACCCCTGTGAGTTTGGAGGGAGATACTTCATTTCCTATCATTGCTGTAATTCAAAAAATGTCTTACTTCTCCATCCCTCTCTGAAAATTGTAAAAGAAGCAGTTGCCTGAAATATGAAAATGGTGTTGGCAGATATTTGGCATTTATATGGGCTTCATTCAAATAAATGTCAAAAAGGTTAGAGTTTTGCATCAGCCTTCAGTTCCAATTCAGTCTTTTGAATTCTTAGGAAAATTACATTACATTAATTCCTTTTTTGCTTCTGATGTAACAAACTCTTCTTGGCAAAGAAACTAAAGTAATTTCTTAGAAAATTAACAGGCTTTTCAATTTAATTATTACGTGCAAAATTTAGTGATATAGGTCATGACTGCCTTTTATCATTGTTGTGAAGCAATTAAATCATAACACACAGGCTTAGCTCAAAATTAATTTATGTAACTAAAAATGTAAACCTAAAATAAAAAATCTAGTATTTGATCTATGAATTCAATTACAAAAGTATAGAGTATATATTTACAGCATGCAGTTTCCTAAAATATTGCTAGATGCATTAACAGCTTTCAGAAGGTAGAAAGGTTGCAACTATAATGAATATTATGTGGGACATTATTAATGGACTCTGCTAACAGGGTTTTCTAATAGATGGAAAAAGAACTACCAGTATGTAGCTCTTCTTAACTGTATTCAAGTTCACATGAGCCCAATGGTTCATTGCTAATCTCTATAGTAATAAAGAACACATAACTTTTGAACAGATCCATGTAGTTTAATTACTTGTGGAACCACCTCTGAAGGCGACTGTGTAGCAAGTCATAGGGCAGTCCCTGTTGCCCCAGGTGTAAATGAGCAAGGCAAGCGACGGTGCAAAGGAGGCAGCCACATTGCTGGCGCAGGGAAAAGCTGGACCTGGGCTCTGTGTGAACCTTGCTGAGACTCATGTTTCATTGTGGTTAGGGCATTTCCAGCCATCACGTTTCATTTTGTGAGGAGATAATGAACCCAGTAAAAAATACTTGATGTTAAAAGCCCTGAGTGACAGCATATGCTTTCTGTCTCTGAACTGTATCCAATCGCAGCTGTCAGATGCACAGCTGAGAAAATACAGCTCCAGCTGCTGCTGCCTCCCACCACGTCCCTCCATCACAGACAACATGTAATTTCCTGAATGGAAAGTCACAGGGTGCAGTAGTCATCCTAAGTGCTACTTCCTTACAGCTCTGCTACTCCTACAAGCAATGCTTCACTTTTCAGGAAGAGTTCATAAAAAGTGGATCACTTTCCCAGGTAATACTGGTTCCCTATTGTCTAAGCATGTCTGCAGGTATATTCACTACGCTGTCAACTTGGCAAGCTCCTTCCCAGTAACACCTGGGGAGCGTGGCAGAATGCTGTGGGAAGGTGCACAAGCTGCCTGAGGTATTGGATCTGTATCACCACCAGTTCAGCCTGCAGTGAGCCCCGGCTATATAGTCCTACTGGGAAACAGAGTGCAGAAGGCTGGGAGCAGTGCTGCAGTGCACTTTATCCCACCTGCAAAACCTGGGTTTTCTTACTGAAAAGTAATTCAAATACCCTGGTACAACAGTGGACTATACTATGAAAACAACCAATGAGGACATCTGGAAGATACTACCCACTCTCCCTTGTTTTCTGTTTGTCTGAGAAGATCAACTTATTTTTGTTACAAGTTCTATATGTAGAGAGAGTCCTTTATATTACTCACTCCATATAGAGTATATTACTCACTCCATTATTGAATATATCAGGATGTTTCCTCACATGTTTTTTAGTTTGGTTTTACCGTGAATGCAGAAATACTTTCTGAATTGCAGTGGTACCAGAGGTAGCAGTTAGGATGGTCTCTTGTGAAACAGATGAACATGTTAAAATCCCTTCTCTGACAGAGAGAGTTACTTTGTATTTGTACCTTTGGCTAACTTGAACAACAAGTTATCGTCTGTTCGGATGTGGGGGGCACACATAGTTTCTCCTAATGGCATTATTATACATTGTATGAAACACTTTCACCTTTATTGAGAGAAATACTACCTCTCTAGGCTGGTGCTCAGGATGCTCACCTATCAGATGGGATATCTTCTCAGTGTATATTGGTTTTATATGCAAATTGAAACAGCTAAGCCAGAAATACTAAATATGCAATTCAGTCAGATGCACAAAATCCTTCTCTAGCAACAAGCACGGACTGAGTAGCCTCAGTTAAGTTCTTTGGTTTTTAAGCTGATGAATAAAAGATAGAATCATTTTCAGTTTCTTAAAACCACTTCACATTTTCCTCTAACCCATTTTTTTTTGGCTACAACAGTGGTTTTTGATGAATGGATTAAAGACAAAAAAATACAACTACCTGTGAACTTCAGCACAATGGGGACAGGGTCAGAGTACATAAAGGCATCCTGGATTTCTGTCCTATGTTAAGTGTCCAAGGTCACTTCTCCCACTTCAGGATTTCCAGCTAATCTTGAGAGAAACTTAGCATGAAGCACTGCTAAATTCAGGGAACATAGCTACTACCCTTAAATGGCCAGTATACTCCATTGCAATTTTTTATTTCTGTAGAAAATGTAGCATAATGAAAATCTCTCGGATGTTTTCCAAATGTAAGGATTCTGTCAGTTGTGCATGCACCCCCTTTTATCTGATTCATAGTAGGTAGCTCAGCTAAGCTCATACTTGCCAAAGAATTCACTGAAGAAGATGAGAAGCAGAGAACTGTCTTTTGACCACTTTTCTCAATCAGTTGGACTGTGCTTGGCAATGAGCAAACTTCAGAGAATTCCACGTTTGCTGAACTATTGAGCACTAATTCCAAAACCAATTAATTCAAACAAGGTCACATTGGATGAGGGAGTTTTCAATTAGAGCTCATACAATTACTCAGGATGCCTGAGGAATTGCAGGTTTCCCTTCTCCTGACTTAAAGCTATTTTCAGCTTTCCATTTTTCAAATAAAGGCATACGTATGGTGAATTTTTACAGCACATATTTGATATTTAGCCACAAAACTCTCATTGCCAGTAA